GCAACAACGCTTTTATTGGTTCCGCTATCGGGACGGAACCAATAATGGCGAGCCATTATTTATTTTAAATTAAAAAAAAAAAGTAAATTTTAATGTTTTATTTAGATTACAAAAATAAATTGTAATAAAAATAATCCTATTTATGATGATTTATAAATTAAGACCTGCGAAAGACTGATTTAATACATTTTAATACCAATTAAGGCCTTAATTTTATCTAATTCAATGCCTTTTAAGACTTTTTAAGGACCCGCAGGAACCCTGTTTTTTTTTATTATTAGTTTAAAAATAAAATGATCAGAGAAAATCTAGTCTCTCCTGCTGTTGCATCACTGGGTCGACCCTAGTGACTAAAACAGGATCAAACCGGTTCTGGGGCTACGTGTGGTCCCCACCTGTACAGGTAGTTGGGTCTGTTGCCAGCGATGACAGCCACTGGAACATTGAAGACGTTGTTACTGGGAAGCTGGAAGCAGAGATGAAACGCATCAGAACAATGAACCACTTAGATGATACGTCCATATCTCTGCGTGTGTTTCAGAACTCGGGTCCAGCTGAAGGCGCCGCTGCTGAGCTGGAACCAAAGTCTGCGCTGGTGGTTCTTGACCTCACTGAAGACAGCAACTCAAGTTCAGATTCAACTGTTTTTTTTTAGATTATCAGGATGATTCTGCAGAAGCAAATGATTCGGCTGATGATTCAAACCGCTAATGTTCCAGAAATGATCCAATCTAATCTGATCACCAACAGGTCCAGAGAGCATCAGGACATTTCTTGACCCCACAGCCTAAACCAGGCATCCCCAAAGTCGGTCCTCGAGGGCCGCTGTGCCGCAGGGTTTGGAGGGTTCCCTGCTCCAGCACAGCTGATTATAACTGAAAGCGGATTAACAGGCTGTTGCTCAACTTCAATCATCATAATCAGCAATGCTAAAGCAGGGAAACCTCTAAAACCTGCAGGACAGCGGCCCTCAAGGACTGACTTTGGGGATGCCTGGCCTAAACGTTGGCAAAGGTACGGGATTTGGCCAGCAGGTGGCAGAACGGTCCAACTTAGTGATTAAAACAAACAATTCTTTACGACCCGAGAAGGAAACTAAATTTATTAAAGTTAACTAACTTAAAAAATTGAAACTTTTTACAGAGCAGACAGTAATCTTCATAAACAGTTATCTGGAGATGCTAAACGTTTCTTAGGGATGCACACAGAGCAGACCTCAGCGCAGTGGATCAGCTGTTCGGGGCATCTTACCGGCTCTGGGTTGAACTCGATGGGCGCCGGGTCTTTGCAGCTGCAGATGCTCCCATATCCTTCCACTTTGCTGCAGAACAGCTTCCTCCTCCTATTGAGCTCTGTGTCGGCCCAGTGGCACTCCGCCTCTGCAGGGCGGTCAGAGGGAGAAAATGGATCAGGGGGATGAAAACTTGCTGGAACATTTTCTGCTGGATCGTCTCAGTCAGCTCATTTCAACAGCTGCTGCTGGGATTATAGCTGAACACGCCGACCAATGAGATATTGATATTTGAAATGTTTTTATTCCTTTTAAAACTGATGATAAAAATTAACTGGGTCAGAACCAAGAGCCATGAAATAAACCAACAGTCTACAGACATGAACTCTGGTACCTTCAGCAGCGGTGAGTTGCACCTCTGTTTTCAGCAGAACCGGGTCGCCCCAGGTGGACAGAGCCGGAGACTTGGAGTGCTTCTCTCCGTACACTGGACCTGTGAAATTTTAGAGAGAATGACCTAAATTTTAATTTGAGTCTTTATCAGAATGCATCAATATGAGGCTAGTTTCAAGTTGCTGTTTTCACTTTTTGCCACTGAGATCAATAGTTGTCTTTCCTTATCTGGAACTTTTTGTCTTTCCCTCAATATGCAACACGTTTACTAAATATAACTGATAAAAACTAAACTGAAACTAAGCCGTTTGAACCCAACTGTCAGTCAGACTTAGAATTGAGAGAAATAGCAAACATTAGTCAAAGATTTAGACTGAATCAAACCACCTCTATGTGGACAGCAAAGTGTCTCAAAGATTCACTTAAACCTGTTTTGCATCCATTTGGATCCAAACAGTGCCCCCTGCAGGCCCCACATCTCCATGTGGCTAAAGCAAAAAAGGTGTAAGAAGAATTACTTTTTATAAATTTGGCCTTAACTTCTGAAAATAAAAAATAAAAACAGAACCAAGTTCCTCTGACCAAAATACAGTATACAGTATATGATGTACTGGCTTTCCATACCCTGACCATTGTTGCAGTATCAGGGACAAACCAAAGCTTTTGCACAGTGGCGCTGCCCTGCAGTTCCTGTGGGAAGCTTCAGACATCCTCATCTTCATCATGCATGGATCAGAGCAGTGTCGCTGCCAACAGCTCTTGCACTAATCACCTGACTGCAGGTTATTATGAAGTCACTTCAAACTAAGCCAGGAAGGCTCCCCTTTAAACTCTGAATGAGTCTGACCTCCTTTCTTCACTACAAGGGTCCACATGTCCCTCCAGCTCAGGTTCAGAGATGCCTGGCTGCCAAAGCTCTTCAGCAGGTTCTTTGCAGCATCCTTAAGATGGAACGTTCCCTCATCCTGCAGAACAGAACCAAACCGGTCAGCAGAACCAAGCCTATAACAGCTGGAATCCCCTCTGCAGGTAAACCAACCCTACCTTTATGGTGAAGATGAGGATCCGCCCACGAGTCACCATGTTGAGGAAGAGGATCATGGCTTCGTCCTCATGAGGAGAATAGGTGTCAAAGATCCTCTTGGCCATCACGTGACCCTGAAACGGCAAAAGATGGTCCAGTCAGAGCAAAGTTTGCACCGATTACAGGTTATCAACCAGTGAACCAGTGGATGCTCACCGTGGCCTGGTTCAGAACGATCACATGGATTCCTCGGCCCTGTTCACGCATGTCGTCCTCCAGAACCTGCAGGCGGGACATTGTCCAACCAAGTTAATGATGTACTGAAACGGGCCAGGAATGAACAGTAATGAAGGAACACAAGAACAAAGCAGTTTCTTTCCAGATGTAGGAAGAAAAAATAATACTTCTGAAGCTGTTCATTTTTTCCCAGGAAGCTTTGTTACTTTGTAGGTAAACATGGCTTCCATCTAGAAAGTAGCCACTAGATGCCAACTTCTGCACTAAAACACGGGTTCTATGAGGCATCATGTTCCTGGAATTAATTACTTCTTTTTAATTATCAAACCATCATCTGCTACTGAATGTTACCATGTTTTAATAGAGTTCCAGGTGAAGCAATCTGTTAATTTACGAGCAGCAGGTGAAGCCGTTCACCCAATCAGCAAAGTGGAGCAGAGCAGGAGGAAAACTACGACAGAGTATTAGGGCCAGGCTAGGGATTATTTTTTCTTCTATTTCAAGAATAAAGTCGTAACATTAGGGTAAAAAAGGCGCAACGAAAATATTCAGAAAATTAAGATGATAAAGTCGTAATATTAAGAGAATAAAGTCCTAAAATTATGAGAAACAAGTTCTATTTTATGACAACTCTTACAAGAAGCACTCTCTTCCCTAAAATGAGGAATGTCGAGCATTATGTGAGGTTACACTTTGGCTCTGGTTTGACAAATAATGAAATCTTATAGCACACCAGCATTAAAATTGGACAAACAGGTTGCTGTTTGGTGGAGCTGGTCGGCAGTCATATGGCGGTCGGAGCTTCAAGCTTTGTTTCTGAAATGGATTGTTGTATGAAGACTTAATTCTTGTAATGTTACGACGTTACTCTCGTAATGTTAAGACTTTATTCTCGTAATGTTACGACTTTATACTCGTAATGTTAATGTTTCGACTTTATTCTCGTAATGTTACGACTTTATACTCGTAATGTTACGACTTTATTCTCGTAATGTTACGACGTTATTCTCGTAATGTTACAATGTTATTCTCGTAATGTTAAGACTTCATTCATGTAATGTTACGACTTTATTCTCGTAATGTTACGACTTTATTCTCGTAATGTTACGACTTTAT